TTTTTTTTTTTCTTCTGCAAATTTCAAATAAATTTCAATTTAGCAAAAAACTAAAAATTATGGAAGGATATTTTTTGCCACTGCTAGTGATACTGCTGCCGCTATAAATATATAGGTATCCACTTATTCCTACTTGGTTCTAAGGAAAAAATTTGTTTTTTAAACTGTTGAGAGCCCTTAACCAATATTAACTGTGATAACATCTATAGTGTTGTTAGTAGAAAAGATAAATTTTTTGTTTTTTTTTCAGTAAACTAAAATGCACTAAGCAGCGTCAACTTTCAACAGTTGACAAATTAAAGAAGAATTTTTTTTTTTGACTATTGATATTGTTTTAGAAACCTAATAACAGCAAAAAAGAGCTATTGACAATGGAAAGCTTAGGAGTATGCTAGACTAACCCACCAAACAAGAACAATTTAAAATTTAGGCCGTTTCTGTAATCGTCGAATATAAGATGACAATTACACTCCGACGCAAATACTTCTAAACTTGCTCAAAATTTTTATTTTCTGTTTTTGTACCAAATGCTTTTGGCTGCTGGTGAAAAGCTGTGCAGCAGTTGTTGTTACGGTTAAACGGTCACAATTTTTCAAGTTCCTGAAGAGAGAGCTAGAAGAAAAGAAACAGAAAAAAGAGTACTTTTTGCAAACAAAAATTTTTGTTTTCACAACAACTTTAATTTCCTTTTCTATCAAGCAATTCTAAGGAATACTTACCCTCGAAAATGCCCTCAATCTTTACCTATCCAGTTAAATTCATGTACCAATAACATAGTTTGAAATTTTGCTCTTAACGGTCCAGAAAAGTACATGATGATTTATCTAAAGTGGCTGGAAAAAATACCGTTAAGATTTTTGTAAATCTTCAAACACTTTGGAAGAGTTTGTACAATTAATGATCATAACAGAATTATGAACTTGCAGTACTTTCATGCTTATTTCTGCAGAAACGTTTTAATGCATTGTAAGCCGCAAAACTAAAAAGGTAGCAGTAAAGATTTATCGATGCACTGCAGTCAACTGCACGAAAAATTTATAATATTCTAAAATCTTCACCAGAATGAACGTGAACAGAAACCTAACCAAAGTAATCGCCACCTTGATTTCTGGGTTACAAAGTTCATTTCGAACCATTTTTTACTCAAAATTCAATTTAAAAAGATTTAAAAACATCATCAATCATGGTGAAATCACTGAAGTGCTGCGATACAACACAGAACCTTTGATAGCAGAATCTGTGTTAAAATATTGTCCCCAAAAACTTTGTGATTATCAGCATGTTTTGATATACTATCAGTAGCCTAAGCGCAAAACACTTAAGCCACTAAAACTAAAGTTATTTCATTAAGATTCCAAGTAGCCTTTGTAATCACATCATCAGAATACCAGTGGGATAGAGTTTTACAGGATATCGGTTATTCATTTAAAAGGTTACTGATATTGTTTATTTTTTAGCATACTGAAAGCATATTAAAGCGAACATTTTTAGTTAATATCCAAACAGTAAATTTTTGTGAAAGGAAAGACTAGTTTCTAGTTGCTGGGCTGTTACAAACTACAACAACTTTACTAACTACAACAACTTAACTACCTTTTGTCTGCTTTTAAACATAATACTTTGAGATAA